TCAAGAATACTGAAAATATCCTGAATGTGACTCTTCAATTCTACGCCGTGATGAAGCAGGGGGTATATGCACAGTAGGACACTCTCCTCTAATTATTATCTACTCTTGTTATTAGTAATATGGTAGCGTTACTAAGTAGGATTCACCCCCATTTCGCAATGACTGCCACGACTTTTACAGCCTTGTTATACCGGGAAAATGAGCTCTTATGCTTACGAGACTTCTTAGAGGACCTTATCTTGACCAGAGGACTCCAATAGCACCACTAGCATGGCTCTGAACCTTGTCTAAAAAGAAATTTAAAAATTGGCAAAATGGCTTTTTTGTTCAGTCCATTTTTTATCTTCATCTCCTGTTAATCCAGTTGTCGGTGTGTAGCAACGAATTAAAGCGCTATACAGTAGATAATAATTTCATTTTTTGTAGAGAGTGAAATGATAAAAAATTTTTTCAACACACTAAACATTCTATGTATATATAATGGCTTATAGTTTCTAAAACTAAAAACAATTAATAAAAAAATAGCACGAATATTAAAAGGGGACAGCAAAAAATACTAAACATTAAAACAAATCAAACAACTGATTCTCGTCTGAAATAATCAGTAGAACTTGGCACCATGGCTCTTCTTTGCTCATCAACAGTTAGATATGGTTCAGTTATATCTAAAAGAGGATCATCATCTTCATCTTTTTTCTTGAATAACTTCTTAATTAGAGCATCATAATATTTCATATGTGATAACTGCAGGTGAAGATGATAAACAAAAATTAAAACAAAAGTAACAATAAAAACAGATAAACAAGTATTGTACCAAATCAATATTTTACTGTCTTCATTAAGAGCTACAGATAAAAAGGCCATGATGCACAAGTTTAATAAGAACCAAACTTCAAGTACATTGTTCATTCTTTTTCTGTAAACTCCACCAAAACAATAACCCAATGATAGCACAATAGCTAACACTGTCGATAGCATTGACAATAGGAAGTGCTGTGACTGAATGAAACTATCAGCTAAAGTAACTGATAATAGTACTGGTATCCTAGCCACTATCAGTAGACCAGGCCAGAACCGATACTCATCTTTCATTGGGCCACTATAAGCATCAATAATAGGCTTGAAATGATTCCATAATCTATTTAAGAGCTTGAAATTTGAAAGATACTTCTCATATAAAGGATTAAGTAAAAGGAACAGTGTGTATGGTATGACAAAGAAAACAGTCACCAATAGGGCAAATCCAAATAGTCCAGCATGCTTCCCTTTAGCATATTCAACATTAGGATCCTCATACCATAAACTAACTAATCTTACCGACTCATTTGTACAGTGAAGAGTTACTTCACGTGTGTGTAGTACAGTAACAATAGTACGTACTAGTTTAGTATATGAGAGAAGAAAGAGTGTAGATAGAACAGGAACAGCATGAGACCCCATTAGTCTTGATATTTTACCATATCTCCTACACAGCTGTATAATAACAATGATGACAACCCACAGGTAGAGAGGGAAAGCAAACTGGAGCCATTGTTTAGCATAACTGTCCATACCAT